AATAATACCAGACCAAAACCTGCATTTTTTGGTTATTTTCTAGAAAATAAACAAGACAGACTTATTTATTTTGTTGGCTAGCTGCTTTTTTAGTTTTGTGTGTGAATGCGATAACGTAAAATTGTAGGTGTATCTGCTTGTCCATTTTTGTTCATGATGAATTTTTACTGTTATATACATGAGCAAACCTTTTACTGTCCCGCACATTACAGAAAGCACTTTTGATGTAGAGTATAATGTATTTTCTTACTCAGAATTTTTGTCATGTTTCTAGTCCAAATATCTAAAAATTCTTAAATCAAGAAGCATTTACTAGACATGCAAAAAACATTTCTATTTTAAGAAATAATACGACAAAATTAATATTGTTTATTTTGAATTAATTAATAGTCTTTCCTTTAAAACAAGCAAAATAATTTTGTCATTGATAGATTCAACCCAAGCTCATTCTGAAAACGTATTTCGTATTATACGTTAAACGTATTAAAAAACGATTTACGTGGCTGGAAGTTCGTAAGACTGCATTTTTTTTTTTTCAAGCGAATGCTGCAGGGCGGTGTGACGCCACTCCTCTTCATGCTCGCCGGCTGGGCTGACGGCTCAGCTCCTCCGTGTGGAGGGCTTTCCCACCACAACCAGTTTGTCTGGTTAGCTTATAGATTATATACTAATTTTAAAGAAAGAGCAACACAGGCTCGTTTGGAAAACGTAGCCCTGTATACATTTCTGGAGATCACGAATTATGTAGCAAGAGGAACGTATGGCTGCATTTCATTTTTAAAATGACTGATATGGAGCGATATGAAGCCATTACTTTTCACGCTTACCAGCTGACCGCTTACCTCCATGCGGACGGCTTTCCTGCAGTCACCAGTTTGTCCAGTGGCTCACCACGTACTGTACGTCTGCGGACTTGTGATGTGGAGTGCAGTTGACCACAACGACAGGCTTCGAGTCCGGCTAAAAACGACTCCAGAAAGCAAGTAAGACAAAAACAAAAGCCAAAAAATAGAATTCAAAGTAAATAACAGGGTGAGAATGTGGTAAAATCTAAAAACGTGGTAAAAATCAGGTGAGGGCTTTATTTTTCTGGATTGCTTTTCAAAACACTGTCGGTTAGGTTCAGGGAAGTGGGTGGGCACTGGTCAATCTGTGCTTTTGAAAACACTATTGGTTGGGTTTAGGGAAGAAGGAGGGTGGGTCAGTCGATCAGTCAGTCAACAGCGGCCTCTGGTAAATTTACGCGAGAACAGCTGGCACGAATGGCACTCGCGAGAGAAATTTGAGATCTGAAAAAGCGTACACAGTGGCCTCTGGTGGATTCATCAAAACAGAATCTGCAAAAAAACATAGCTCCTGGGATGTATTTGGTGCTCTCTAAAAATGTATATAAGGATACGTTTTCAGAATGAGCCCGGGTTGAGAAAAACTCATTTCTTTTTGACTGCTGCTCATCTAGAAAATGCTTGTTGATTTAAGAATTTGATATACAGTATTTGGACTAGAAACGAGAGTAGGAAAAGCATTTTTTTTTTTTTGCAGTGTAACAATTTATTATTTCATTTAATGGCTATTTAATTATTTCATTTAAACAACTCTGATTAGCTGCTAAATCTATTTGTTCCAGTCTTATAACTTTAGTTCTGAAATAAGAAGCTCAATAATCAAACACAGTGGGCTTCAGTGCTGGTCTGCCATTGTCCTCTGTAACTGATGGTAATCTTGAAGCTCTTCACAGTGATCTCTTTGTCTGAACTCAACTTTTCTCCTGGCGTAACTCAAATCTGAGCCGCTGAAACTGAGCTCACGTGACCGAAACTGGAGAAGGTGAGGAGGAACTGCGGTTTCTGGAGGAAAGATCTGCGCTTTCTCAAAACACTGAATCATTGTGTTTGTGTGAGAGGAGACTTTCAGGTCCATACTCAGCTGATTTTGGCAAAATCACAAGTTTTATTTTTAAGTTTTATTTGTTGGCAAACAAGCACTTAAATGTATATATATAAAAACAGTAACTTACAAAAAAAATTACATATAAAATAAAATGATTCGCCCTCCTGTAAATGAGTTGTTCTTCTTCAAATATTTCCCAAATGATGTTTAACAGATCAAGGAGTTTTTCACAGTATTTCCTGTAATATTTTTTCTTTCAGAGAAAGTCTTATTTGGTTTATTTCGGCTAGAATAAAAGCAAGTATTCATTCTTTTAAAGGTATTTTAAGCTTAATATTTTTAATATTTGTTTTGATTGTCTACAGAACAAACCACTTTAATACAATGACCTGCCTAATTAACAAAAAGCCATGTGGTGACTTTTGGAGGTGTGAGACGCTCTTTGGGAGCGCAGACAGATGCTTAAAACAGTTCTGGAGGGAGTAATAATAATAATACTGAGGCACTGTGATGACGGACTGACGGCTGAGGAGTTTTAGAAAGACCAAAGCAGCACTTCAGATGCTTAACAATGTGCTGGAAACGCTGCTTTGACCATTAATGCTTCCCATCAGGTACATTTTTATCATCACATGATCTGTTAAAGCAAGATCACATGACATTTTAACATGTATGCATTAATTTATTCATTGATTGGTTTCCATTTTAGCTCATGCACATATTTTCTTACTGGATAAAAAGTTTTAATGCAAATTTTTGCGATTACATAAACATTTTTCCTCATGCAAATTCCAAAATGAGCATAAAAATAGGTGGACGGATACATACTAGAACGAGTCATTCACTAATTACCTTTAGAGATACAACAAATATCGTTTGAAGGGCTGGTCCACAGTTTATTTTTGAGGCTTGGTTGTGTTCATAAGATGCAAAGCAATGTGCGCTCATGCTTCCCTTGTAGAAAATCACATTATGTTTTCATGTATCTTATATACAGCTACTCAGCTAACATGAAAACCACTGTCATATTTTCTAGTTCCTCTAAAAGGCCCGCCCTCAGGAGGCTCTGATTGGTCTGCTAACATAATGACCGGATCAGCTCCACGTCACCAGTGAAGCGTCATGCTGCGTTCACATCAGATGCGGAACGCGCGTCAAGCGCGAGTGATTTACATGTTAAGTCAATGCAAACGCGAGAATAGACATCCTGCGGCGCGATACGCGCGAATGACGCAAATTGTGCTAATGGCGCGGGGCGAATTGAGCGTTTTGCGCGTTTGATGCGCTTAACGAGCATTTTGCGCGAATCTCTCGATTTCGAAAATCTGAACTTCGCGTACATTGTGACGTAAAACCTGTTGTCGGTGTTCCGAGGGAAATCCTCCAGCCTCAGAAGCACCGCTGAAAGGCTCCGTCATCCAGGTTAAGTTTCTGAAGGAGTTTATGAGCTCACAGAGCTGGATGCACCTCTGAAAGAATCTAGTGGACTCAGACACGGCACTAAACGTATCGACGCAGTTTTTCAGTCTTCATAAAGCACATAAACACTGTTATTTTTTTCATAAAATCCATGTTAGCCATTTAGCTATGAAGCTAGAGTCTTCGGGGAGACAGAAGCCCTGCCCATCATGCGAATCCGCGTCTGTTCTGATGTGAATTTGACACGCGAATAAAGCGGGGTTTGACGCGCGTATGAAGCGAGAAAACTCAACTGTTCACGCGGCTATTTACACGCAAATAGCGCGATTTATCCACGCGTTCCGCGTCTGGTGTGAACACAGCATCACACCCCAAGCACGTGCTTTGATTCAGCTGTGTGAATAGTTTCAGTCAGAGTAGCTGTTAGCTGTATCTGTTTGAGCCTTAATCAGACAGAAAATGAAACAGATGAACCTTATGCCTGCTCTCTAAAATAAAATCTGACGAGTGTCTGTAATGAGTGAAAATAGGGTGTGGCTCCTTTAAGAGAGAATCGCCATTTTAGCTTTGTGTGTGAACAGTCTGTAGACGCACGTAACATGAGAAGCGCATGTGTGCGGGACTGATGATTATTTTTTATTTTTCCTCTAATGCTCAAATTAAGTTTTTCTTTAATATACAGTGACGCTGCTGACAGGAGAATAAAGCGCAAGATGTGTGATGCGACCCGTGTGAGCTTTGATTGTGTTTTTAGCTGCAACATGAGTTAGGCGAGCTCTCCTGTATTTTTTACCTAACTCAAGGCATTACATGTCTTTCGGTTAAAAGCATGTGTAAGTATTATGAATAATATCTTTTGTGAGTTCATTATTTGAGATGTAGAACGCAGGGAAAGCATCCGCATAGAGACACACTGCAGCGCTGCTGAAGATTGTGTGTGTTTACAGCGGTTTGACTTTGCAGCTAAATTGTTAGCGGTGCCAAACAGTATTTCCCGTTGTTTACATCTTTGCTACAGCACACCGTTAACGCTAGAAAGTATGCATATCATAGATCAATTTGAACAAATAAAAACACTTACAGGTTGTGGCTCACAATCCACAGCTTCTGCTTGCTGTAGCTACTCCTTTGAGGAAAATCCAGCACTGAGAAAGATTCTTGAAGCTGTCCTTTGTCAAATGCTAGAGCTATATATTTTTATAATTCTCTGGAACATGATTAAGTTAAAGTGTAAGCACTTCTCTCTTTGTGTCGTGTCCTTTGAAAGCCCGAATACAGAAACAGAAGAAGCTCTGTGGAAATAGCAATGTTTGCACGCCATTTTAGCTTTCTCTGCTATAACATTACAGCATCCCTGCTGAAAAATCCAGCTTAAACCAGCCTAGGCTGGTTGGCTGGTTTTAGCCGATTGACCAACCTGGTTTTAGAGGGGTTTTGGCCATTTCCAGGCTGGTTTCCACCTATTTCCAGCCTGGTCTTAGCTGGTCAGGCTGGAAAATGACCAGCTAAATCCAGCTAAAACCAGCTCGACCAGCCTGGTTTAAGCTGGATATAGCTGGTTTTGGCTGGACTCCCAGCTTGGCTAGGCTGGTCAAGCTGGTTTCAGCAGGTCATCTCCCAGCCTGACCAGCTAAGACCAGGCTGGAAATGGCTGGAGACCTGGAAGTGGCCAAAACCCCTCTAAAACCAGGCTGGTCGACCAGCTAAAACCAGCCTAGGCTGGTTTAAGCTGGATTTTTCAGCAGGGATTACAGCACCTCTGGACAGGCCTCTTCGCTGTGCGCGTAACCAGAAGCGTTTGTGATCTCATTATCCTGGATGTGTTTTTTGTAGTCCCCAGATTTCCTTGGCTGTAGGCTTTGCTAAGCTAACTCTGTAAAAGCTAACGTCTCCCTTTGCATTGAACTTTGAGCGCCGTCCATTGAGAGATGCTGTTCACGTTCACGCAGCTACATTACACATCAACTAAAGTTTACCATACGATATTGTAGTGGACCACCTCTTTACATGAAATTGATCAGGATTCATTACAGTTGTACGTCATTAGTAAGGTGTTCGATTGTACTGAATGTCAAGACGTAACTTTTGGCAGGAGCAATTCCAATGTGAGATGTAAATGTCTATTATGGAAGAGTCTTTTACATTAGAGTTGTTCGTTAACTCAACACTGATCTAATAAGGTCTCAGTTTGGCAGGGGATCTGCTGGTGAGATCGTGCAACAGGTTTATTTGTTGATTTTGAGCCAGTCTCTCCAAGGCGAGTGGTTTTGCACTGAACTGATCTCTGAAAACGTGGACGGCGAAGATGAAGGCCGTCTGGATTTGTGCAGGAAAGAAAGACGACCGACAGATGACTTCCGTTGCTGCTGTTCTGTTTCCTGTTGGCTCCTGAGCTGTTGGTTGATGATAACTTGCATATCGTCCTAAGGGGATACACACAAACATCATAGATTATTTAAAATTTATTGCATTTAAAAGTAAAAGTCGGTCACACTTTAGTTTAATGTCATGCTTTTAACAAACTATTAATTTAGACTTTCATATTAATAAAGTACTAGTTAGCTGCTTATTAATAGTAAGGTGTTAGTTGGGTTTGGGTTTGGGCACTGGCTAGGATTAGGAACGTAAAATAAGATCATACTTTATAAGGTCACAACTCACATTATTAACCAATCAGACTTGTGGCTCAATAAACGTCTAATTAGCTGCTTATTATTTGTAAGTTATTAGTTGGGTTTAGGTTTGGGTATTGGGTAGGACAAGGGATGTAAAATAAGATCATACTTTATGTGCTAGTAAACAGTTCATATCTTAATAACAGGCAGGTAAGAAGCCAGTAGTAAACGGTGTGAATTGTTACTTAAACTGAGGCCGTACTCACACTAGGTACAGTTGCCTCGAACCGGGCCAAAGCACGCTTGTTCCCCCTACCGTCTCCCCCGACGGCCCGCGCTCACACCACAAACGGGCTTCGGCACGCTTACGTTATCGCTGCTGCGCTGTTCAGTGAGAAGCGCTCTCTCACTCAGCAGCACAGTGGAGATTTCTCTAGTTATATCGTTTCAGTCGCTTGATATGCCGTCAAATATTTCGCCAAACAGTCCTTAGGGATGCGGGGACACGCAGTCAGATATTTCGCCGAACAGATCCGGCACTTTTGGCGCTCATAAACAATCATAAAGCCCTCGTGCTGCAGGAATGAGGAGGTCTGCTGAAGGTGCAGCTGTCGTGCAGTGAGGAGTTTGTGTCTTTAATAAACTACGGCAGTTTGCGTTCACTGAACAGTAAGAATGATTAATAAATCCACATGAAACAGTCCCTTAAAAGTCACGTCTCGCTTTCAGTTTCGGGCTTTGGCGCGTTTTGCACTCACACAAGCGTACCACGCCAAAGCCCAGGTGAACCGCGCTCAGGCACACCTCTTCCAACCGGGCCAGGGCCGGCCAAGTGAACCGTGCTTGAGTCCGATTCAGCACACTCACACTTCTCAAACGATCCGGGAAACGGGCCTGGGCATGGTATGGATGGCATAGTGTGAGTACGCCCTAAGGGTCTAATTTGTGCTGGAACATGCCGGATTCGCACCTCTGAAATCTGATCTGGAACCTCATTTTACTGCTACCCCTCCTCAACTGCCCTCCTCCCCCGTCCACTGTTCACATTCACTTTCTTCTGTTACCTCTCAACCCTCTTCACCTCCGTCCCCGACAATCCAAACCACCTCCCAACTAAAGTGTTACCAAAAATAACCTCAAAATGTCATCGAAAATGATTCAGGTACAGGTAATGACTTTGGTTTTAAGCCAGATATAAAAAAATCCCTTACTTTTGCTAACTAAAACACTATGTTAAAGGGATAGTTCACTCATAAAGGACATGTTTACTCACTATTTACTATTTCTCAAGGGTTTCCAAACCTTTATGGGTTTCTTCAGTTAAATACAAAAAAAAAGGATATTCTGACGAAAGCTGAAAACCTGTAACCATTGACCTCCAATACAAAACAAACATGGAAGTCAATGGTTCCAGGTTTCCAACATTCTTCAAAGCATCTTCTTTTGTGTGTAACAGGAAAAACTAAACTCTGAAACAATAAAGAGTGAGAAAATGATGACAGAATTGAATTTTAGGTGAACTATAACTTCAAAATAACAGTATAATATTAAAAGGATTTTAGCTAGAATAATATTTTACACGACTTTAATAGCCACTATGAAAACAATGATGTATAGTTCAGCTTTTATACTGTTTTCTTTTTTAACACCCAGATGTTAACGTTTAATTTGAGGCCAAAGTTTTTTTTTTCTTAAATGTTAGCATTTGACTTGTTTTTTTTTCCCCTTGTTTTCGTTCAAACTGTCAAATGCAGCAATGACATAACACCTTAAAGCAGCTGCACACTTCTACTGTGAACAGCAGGGGGCGATATACAGTTGAAGTCAGAATTATTCACCCTCTAGTGCACAGGTGTCAAACTCAGTTCCAAAAGGGCCGCAGCTCTGCACAGTTTAGTTCCAACCCTAATTAAACACACCTGATCAAACTAATTGAGTCCTTCAGGCTTGTTTGAAACCTACAGGTAAGTGTGTTGGAGCAGGGTTGGAACTAAACTGTGCAGGGCTTCGGCCCTCCAGGAATTGAGTTTGACACCCCTGCCCTAGTACATTTTTATCTTGTTCAAATATTTCCAGAATGATGTTGAACAGATTCAGGACATTTTCACAGTATTTCCTATAATATTATTTCTTCTGGAGAAAGTCTGATTTGTTTTATTTTCAGCTACAATAAGAGCAGTTTTTAATGTTTTTAAAAGTAATTTTAAGGTCAATATTATTAGCCCCCTCATGTTTGCTTTGGATTGTCGACAGCAGTGGTTCTCAAACTGTGGTACGTGTACCACTAGTGGTGCGCGGGCTTCCTTCTAGTGGTACGCAGAGGAATCCAATATCAATGTCATAATGCAACATATATTTCAAAATGTATCAAAAATGGTTCAGATATATGAATACGATGACATATAGCCTATATTTATGAGGTCCAAGCAACATTTTCAGGTTTTGAGGAATAGGTTACTACAGGTTAACACTACAAATTACAAGTAAATACAGGAGTTTTTATTTTATTTATTTTTTACTTTTTAAGAACAGTAGCCTACTATTTTTAACTCTTAAGTTTTAATTTAAACGCTGACATTTTATTTAGTTTGTTTGTTCGTTTTTTTTACATATAAGCACAGTACAGTGTTAATGTTTAAACTATAATGTTTGAAGTGGCTGATAATAATTTGTATTCTTAATTATAATAGTTAATCTGTCACGATTTTAAACTGCAGAGTTGTAGCTGCTTTACTAGGCCTACTTTGCTACTGTATTTCAATACTGCTCATCATGGTGGTACTTGGAGGGACACATTTTTTCCTGAGGTGGTACTTGATGAAAAAGGTTTGAGAACCACTGGTCTACAGAACAAACCACTGTTATACAATAGCCCCTTTCACACATACAGACCTTTCCGGAAAATTACCGGCAATTTTCCGGAAAGGTGTGTATGTGTGAACAGGCCCTTTTTGAAAATACCGGTAAATTCGTTCTGGCTATTTTCCGGAAAGAGAAGTTGTAACATTACCGGCAATTTGCCGGAATGCTGCGCTGTGTGAATGCAGAAGGAAGATTCCCGTAATAAGCGCGTGCACGTCTAGAACGTGCTGACGTGAGACGTCTGCTTTAGCCAATCACAACAGTCAGACGCATTTACGTCCGCGCGGTTTGTGTGGATAAAAGCCTTTGAATATTTTTCCAGACACATTTAGCTGCTAGACGTTAGTCAGATCACGTTTATATGTTCTTCTTAATGCCAACTGTGTAAATAATCATCGATGAGATGCTTATGATAAGCCGTTGTTTGTTTACCTTCAAGCTTTGCGTGCGCCTATGAGCGCCTGCACACGCACATATTATGAACATCTCGACATGCGAAAGTGATCCTGCGAAAGTTGTTCACAATATTGATCATCCACAGAGTTTGTAATTTAGTCAAATGTTTACAAACACAAGCGCAGCCGTTTAAAGCTCATTTATGGTGAATGATGTCAGAATTTACCGGTATTTTGGAATGGATGTGTGAATGCTCTTTTCCGGAAAATTTCCGTAACGTCCTCGTCTGTGTGAACAGCGCTTTTTTGAATATACCGGTAAAGTCGTTCCGGAAATTTTCCAGAAATTTACCGGTATCACTGTGTGAAAGGGGCTAATGACTTGCCTAATTACCCTAACCTGCCTAATTAACCTAGTTATACCTTTAAATGTCACTTTAAGCTGTATAAAAGTGTCTTGAAGAATATTCAAATCAATTCAATTCAGCTTTATTTGTATAGCTCTTTTACAATGCAGATTGTGTCAGAGCAGCTTCACATAAATGGTCATAGTAACTGGAACAGTTTAGTTCATTTTTTGGAATTTAAGTTCAGTTCAGTTTAGCTCAGTTCAGTGTGATTTAAAATCATTACTGAGAGTCCAAACACTGAAGATAAATCTAGAATGTCTAGTCAAATATTATTTACTGTCATCATGACAAAGATAAAAGAAATCAGTTATTAGAGATGAGTTATTAAAACTATTATGATTAGAAATGTGTTGAGAAAATCTGTTAAACAGAAATTGGGAAGAAATATATACAGGGTATTTATAATTAATAATTCTAATTATTCTTAGACTGTAATACGACCAGCTCAGACTTAAAAAAATCAAATGCAAGTCACTAAAGACCTTGTCATTGTAGAGCCATCCATAAAATCCTCAAAACAGTTTTGTAATTAAACGACATAACAGATTTGTACCTTCCAGGCTTCGAGTTCCTGCGAGAGCTCAAGTTTTCGCTGGATGGCTTCCAGGAGTTGGTTGTTTAAGCACATCATATCTTGTTTAGTCTTCAGCAGCTCTGCTTCCATCGCTGTCTTCCTGCACGACAGAAAAACAGTAATCTTATTTCATTCCCCCTTAATACAAACTTATTTGGGGAGGCAACCTGTGTGTGTGTGTGTGTATATATATATATATATATATATATATATATATACATATATATACCTGACAAATGAATTATCATCAGCATCAGAAGTGGCATATATGAAAGGCAAAGGCCTCTAGATGGCGCTTATTTGAGCACAATAAAATATGATCATGCCTTGATTGTGACTGATTTCATTAGGACATTAAGGTCTGACTCTGCATCCTATTAAACCAAGAACAGCCATGTTTAATATTATAATGATTTACAGACACTCAGACAAGTGCAGATAGACACTAGTGGTCCTGCTCAAGTTCAAGTTCATTTATTTATAAAGCACATTAAAAAGCAGTCACAAGAAGACTGGCCAAAGTGCTGTACATAAGACAAGGTAAAAATAAAAAGACAGAATATAAAACATAGAAATAAAAAAGAGAAATGTCTGTAAAAATGTAGCAGTAAAAAGGACTATTAAATTAATCTTAAAAAGCCAAGCTAAAAAGGTAAGTTTTAAGAAGTGATTTAACAATAGATAATGATCTAGCCATTCTAATCTCAAGGGGCAAGGTGTTCCACAACCGAGGACCCGCCACAGAGAGAGCTCTGTCCCCTATACGTTTTCAGCCAACATTTTACCCCTGTCTTACTAGATAAGTGCCTTTTATGACCTTTTTATGAAGTCTCATTACATACATTTTCAATACTTTTTTAAGTGTATTTTGAGAACATTTTTAAGTGCCATGTCTCAAAATCCAACATTAAAGTGATGCTCCAGGATACTGACCGAATCCAGGACACTGACCGAAACCATACAGATATAAAGTTTTCAAGCTAAAACTAGCAAATAACATTTGCCCCGCGCCTTGCGCCACATTGCGCCGGGTGTATGATAGGGCCCTTAGTTTTAAGATATATAATAGTGTTTGGGTTACTTGGTGTACATATTTTATTTTAATTTTTGGTGTGACCACCGTTACAAAGGACTGGACATCTGTAAAGAGTTTTGCACAGAATATATATTGAGATATTGCAGGAAAGGACATCGTGATGTTTTAAAGAATAAAGTTGGAGATTTAGCTCCCCATTAATCTTCTCATATTTATGAAAAAAAAACATTTGTAGCTCTAAAGCAGCTGTGTCCTTGAAAAAGGCGTGATGGTGTCATTAGAAACTGAATTGGAAATGACCTTATTTTAATGTAGTCAGTCGTGAACTGAGGTGGGCCGGTCTAAGGTTTGAAACTCCAGGGCTGAAAAGGTGTCCCACTCCGGCCCTGTTCTTGATTTTAAGGTTTGTAGATATTTGAACTAGAACTAAGACAAAAACTCCAAGTAGGAAAAGCCTTCTTGCAGTGGATGTACTGTACTGTAGTGAATGTTCAGTATTTACTTTGCAAAGGCATGATCGCGGTCCTTTAAGGCCTGCTGGACCACCTCCTCATCCAGAAGTCTCTCGGTTTGCAGCTTGAGTTTGGCGTTTTCTGCTAAAAGACTCTCGTTCTGAAAGAGCAGAGAAAACTGTGTGGTTAATATTTTCAGCAACTTTGCACATAATGCAACTAAATTGCAACTGAAGCCTCTCAAAGAACTCGTGTAAAATGGTTTACAGCTTAACTCTGTTCAAATTTTAAGTCAAGCTAAGATGACTTGAAATTTAGGGCCCTATCATACACCCGGCGCAGTGTGGCACAAGGCGCGGCGCAATAGTCTTTTGGTAGTTTCAGCTTGGCGCAAGAGTCATTTTGAGGCGTTGCGCTACGCTGTTTAAATAGCAAATGCATTAGCGCTCATTTGTGCGCCCATAGGCGTTCTGGTCTAAAAAGGAAGGCGTTCTGAGGTGGACCGCTGGCGCGTTGCAATTTTGAGAAACTATATTAGATTTTTCATTAGACCAAAACAAACCCGGTCTAAACTCCAGCGCAGAGTTGCGCCTCGCTTACACACTGCTTAATACACACAAGAGAGCAATAGGCAAATATCTTTACATATGAAAAAATGTAAATATTAAGGATATATATAGGATATAATAAGAATAGATATAGGATATAAATATAAAGGATTAAAATATTACAAAACATATTATTTTCTAGCCTACAGAAATATGAAAAATCACTGCTTTTATGTCTTCTTCATCTCGGGAGGCTTTTTCAGTTCATTCATAACAATTTGCTTTTGTATAATGTTATTATTATTAGCAGTATTATTTATTATATCCATATTTATATTTGTTTTATTAAAAACAAGCTTAGATTTGCCCACCTGTCAGGTTTTAGACCATATGGGGCACAGCATGTGTTTTAGGATATAACTCAGGTTTTAGAGCACATTTTGCTATTATTATTCATTTATTCGTTTGCTGGAAATTAGAACTGAATTTAGAAATAGTTTTGAAACTAATATTTGCGCTTAACAAACAAAATTAATTATTTATAGGCTAATTGATGTCTGTTTGTAAAGGTTTCCCTATCCAAGAGCGAAAGTGAAAGTGATCCATTATCTCTCAGTCTCATGCAGTAGATGCTCTGTTTAACTGTTTTCTGTAATAAAAAACTGTCAACTGTTAACTGTTTGCTTGTGAAATGCTCATTTTTTCCACTTAGACTTACTTTGCGTCCTGTAAATAGCGAATGCGCTCTAGGCAGCTGGCTCTTAAAGGGAATGGGAGATGAGACTCTAATTGGTTTATTCTCAAAACACACCTATAACTCATTAAGAAAATAAACACAACCCTTTTAGCCCATGCGCCTTGGTGAAAGCGTTTGCGCCCTGCGTTTTGCGTTCTGCTCATGGACCGTCAAAATAGAGCCCATAGTGTCTGCCTGATCAAAATAGTCTTGTTTTCTCTTTGCTATAATGCCATTGGCAGATTATTTTGCTTGTTTTAAGGAAAACTCGTTCATTTGGACTCATTATTTCTAAAAAAAAAAAAAAAAACCCAAGACATGTTTTGCTTGTCTAGAAAATGCTTCTTGATTTAAGAACTTTTAGATATTTAGACTAGAAACAAGTTTTCTATTTTTTTTCCCACAGTGTGAGAATTGGCCCTGATACTAAAGTGTTACCAAACAGTTCCAGCTTTCAGTTCCAAGGTCTTACCTTAAGACCAAGACATTCATTCATTCATTTCCTTTTCGGCTTAGCCCCTTTATTAATCTGGGGTCGCCACAGCGGAATGAACCGCCAATTTATCCAGCGTATGTTTTATGCAGGGGCGAGGCAGTGGCGCAGTAGGTAGTGCTGTCGCCTCACAGCAAGAAGGTCTCTGGTTCGATCCTCGGCTCAGTTGGCGTTTCTGTGTGGAGTTTGCATGTTCTCCCTGTGTTCGTGTGGGTTTCCTCCGGGTGCTCCGGTTTCCCCCACAGTCCAAAGACATGCGGTACAGGTGAATTGGGTAGGCTAAATTGTCCGTAGTGTATGAGTGTGTGTGTGTGAATGTCTGAGTGGATGTTTCCCAGATATGGGTTGCGGCTGGAGGGGCATCCGCTGCGTAAAAATTTGCTGGATAAGTTGGAGGTTCATTCCGCTGTGGCGACCCCGGATTAATAAAGGAACTAAGCTGACAAGAAAATGAATGACTGAATTATTTAATTAATGTTTTATGTAGCGGATGTTCTTCCAGCCGCAACCCATCACTGGGAAACACCCATACACTCTCATACACTACAGACAATTTAGCCTACCCGATTCCCCTATAGAGCATGTGTTTGGACTTGTGGAAGAAACAGAAGCACCCGGAGGAAACCCACGCCAACATGGGGAGAACATGCAAACTCCACACACAAATGCCAACTGACCCAGCTGAGGCTCGAACCAGCGGCCTTCTTGCTGCAAGGTGACAGTGCTAACCACTGAGCCACCGCGCCGCCCACACCAAGCCATATTCAGTGTAAAGTTCTGGGTGTCCTATTTACATTTCTATACATTTGGTAACAAAATTTACATTGTTGTCTCTCATTTTTTAGTTTCAACAGAGCATCTCCAAAGATGAGAAGAAAAAAAGAGTTCGGAAATTATATTCTAGTTACCCACTGGGAAGAGGGCTTGAAGCAAAATCCTTCTTGTTCTACATAAAAGTAGGATTACAGCTTGGGCGGCATCAGGCCCGGATTAAGAATTCAGAGGCCCTGGGCACAATGTCTTGTAGGCCCCCTTCCTGGTTACACACCAATTGTTAAATTAAAAAGTAAGAAAAACATAATATTTTTAAAATAAAATTAATCTATAATGTATTGGCTGCATTTTTAAAGTAAATGATATGCAGTTACATATATTTCTAGTCCACAGAGATTTAACTCATTTTTAAAGAATTTAAAGCACGCTTTGAAAAAAAAAATACTAATACAACTAGTTGAAATTAATGGATTTTATGGACTTGTTCAAGTTCACTGAAGCAGTACTAAAATGTATATTTAGGGGTATTTTTATTGTATAATTTCTACAAACTTATAATGCATATGATTTGGATATAACACCACCTCTCAAATCCAGTTCTATGAATCGGAGTCTCCTATAATACACACTTATTAATAATTCCTACTTGTCTTCCTCGTGATGAAGAGTAGGCAAAATCTGATATGTAGTGGGGCGGGGGGAGAAAAAAGGAGTTTATCAGACGCTGGATTTAAATCAAGTTCATGATTGCATCAAAACAAGTTGCCATACACTTTACAAGCTACGCCACTCACGCTCCTGTGTATCGCGCTCTTTAGTTATGTTGTCTGTCAATCAAACGGTGATGGGCGGGAATCACTCAATTAGTTTATTCCAACGAGGTGTGCTATTTGCATTGAGCCTTAATAGACACTCCAAAATTGGCATTCCCCCCATCCCCCGCTCCCCTTGCAGGGGCCCTAAGTGCACTCGGGCCCCTGGGCCGGTGCCCATAATGCCAAATGGTTAATCCGGCCCTGGGCGGCATAGTGGCTCAGTGGTTAGCACTGTCGCCTCACAGCAAGAAGGTCACTGTTTTGAGTCCCAGCTGGGTCAGTTGGCATTTCTGTATGGAGTTTGCATGTTCTCCCCGTGTTGGCGTGGGTTTCCTCCGGGTGCTTCGGTTTCCCCTACGGTCCAAACACATGCGCTATAGAGGAATTAAAGGAACTAAATTGCCCGTCGTGTATGAGTGTGTGTGAATGAGTGTATGTATGGATGTTTCCCAGTATTTGGTTGCAGCTGGAAGGACATCGGCTGTGTAAAACATATGCTGGATAAGTTGGTGGTTCATTCCACTGTGTTGACCCCTGATAAATAAAGGTACCGAGCTGAAATGAATGATTATTTTAGAATTTAATGTCAAGAGAGGAATGTAAACATAAGCATCCCGGTGGCGGGACAGAGAAAGTTAGAGCTTAGAATCCCAATGAGAACAGCAATCAATCTTAATTCAAACATTCCTTAGTCTTTGCCATGCAGACCCTCCAAACAATGGAGCCATTTTTAGAAAGCAGACCCCTGTTTGGTGGCCGCGGTGCTGAGCTGTTATTAGCAGTGGCTGAAAACGTTAAAGCGTTACCGAATGTCACCTGATCCCGAAGCTCCTGTATCTGCACCGCATTCTCACACGGATCACTCCCCAAACTCACAATGGACTTTCTGATCTCCTGCGGTTGATATTTGTGAAGTGTCGTCTTTGTTAGACCTTGACGTCAAGATGTATCTCTCCGCAGCATCGGGATCAAGTAACATACACATAAATGGCGCTCTATTCACGTCTCTGTCTGTCTCTGTCCTTTACCTGTGTGGCTTTGTGCCCCAATGAACTCGTCCCACCCTAAATAAAACACCAGTATGCAAGAGTTTTTGTCTTGTTTTTGGTTCAAATATCTAAAAATTCCTAAATTAAGAAGCGTTTTCTGGAAAACTCTTGTTATTTTTATGTATTATGTCTGAAAACCAGACAATATTTCTTGCTTGTCCAGAAAACGCCTATTATTAAGATATGAACTGTTTACTTGTAAAGTTTGATCTTATACTACATCCCTAGGCCTAGCCAATACCCAAACCTAAACCCAACTAATACCTTACTATTAATAAGCAGCTAATTATTAGTTTAATGAACTTCAAGTCTTAGTTAATGGATTGTTAATAGAGAGTCAGAGTAAGCATAAGGACAGCTCGTGTTATGTTTGTGTCATTGTTGCACAAATAAAAAGGTGTACCTGTTGTGTTTGACTCTGTGCTATCCATTCTGCAGCATGTTTCAACTGTCCCATCATGCCCTGCAGGCTGTCATCTGAGTCCCGTTCAGCTACTGAGCCGCAGATTACAGGTTGAAGCAGTTCCAGGATGTGGTGCACCTCCTGAGAGATCTACGAGTGTAGATTATACATGGAATAAATGTAATTATCGATATTAATTTCAAACCAGTGTCCTGGTCTTGCATTACATATTGCCTTTTGAACACAGCAGTGTTGAATGTATAAATGAATGTATAAATGAACAAATTGAAAGAATGAATCGAATGTAAGAATGATTCGAATGTTTAAATGAATCGGATAAATGAACTGAATGAATCAAATGTATGAAGGAATCGAATGAATCAAATTAATGAATGGAATGAATTAAATGAATGAATGAATGAAATGAATGAATAAATTAATTAATTGAATGAGTGAGCAAATGAATGAATTGAATGAATGAATCGAATGTAAGAACGATTTGAAGGTATGAATGAATGAATCGAAAAAATCAAATTATGAAGGAATCAAATAAATGAATGAATCAAATTAATAAATAGAATAAATGAAAAGAATGAATGAATAAATGTATTGAATGAATGAATCGAATAATTGAATAAATTAATAACTTCAATGTATGAATGAACCTAATGAATGGATGAATTGAATGAATCTAATGTTTAATATAATATTTTATGTAATCGAATAAATGAATTAATCGAATAAATGAACTGAATGAATCAGATGTATGAAAGAATTGAATGATTGAATGAATCACTCAATCAAACGAGTGAAGAAATCAAATGGATTAAATCAATGAATAAATGAATGAGTGAATGAATTAAATGTAAGAATGATTTGAATGAATGTAGGAATAAAATGATTAGATGAATGAATCGAATGAATTGAATAAATCAAAAGGAGGAAGTAATCGAATAAATAAATGAATGAATCAAATGAATGAATGAATGAATGAATAAAACGAATGAATAAATGAATTAAATAAGTGAGTAAATGAATGAATAAATAAAAGAATGAATTAGATTAATAAATTGACTAAATCTGATGAATGAATGAATGAATGAATGAATGAATGATTTCCATGTATGAATGAATCTATTGAATAAATTAATCAAATTAATGGAGGAATTAAATTAATCAAATATTTGGAAAAAATCGAATGATTAAATGAATGAATTGAATAAATCAAATGTATGAAAGAATAAATTAATTGAATGATTGACTGAATAAAATGAACGAATAAATGAATGAATCGAATAAATGAATGACTTCCATGTATGAATGAATCTATTGAATAAATGAATCAAATTAATGGATGAATTAAATTAATCAAATATTTGAAAAAAATCAAATAATTAAATGAATGAATGAACTGAATGAATTTAATAAAATGTATGAATGAATCAAATGATTGAAAAAAAAAATTAATCAAACAAGTGACTGAATAAAATGAATAAATGAATGAATGGAATGAATAAATAAATGAATTACTGAATAAATTCAATGAATTAAAAGAATGAATTGAATAAATGAATGGAATGAACTAACGAATCAAACGAATGAAAGGAATAATTAAATAAATAAATTAATTAATGGAATGAATGAATTAATTAATGAATTAATGAATGAATTAATTAATTAATGAACGAGTGAATGAACTGAATAATTGAATGAATTGAATAAATTAACTAAATTAATGAATCAAGTGAATGCATGAATCTAGTAAATGAATGGATGAATGGATGAATGAACGAGTGAATGAGTAAAAGAATTGAATGAATGAATCAAAATTATAAGAATGAATCAAATGAATGAATAAATTAATCAAAGTATTTAATTAAATGAATTGAATAATTTAATTGAATCAATCAATTTAGCGAACGGAAAGAACAAACTAGCGAACGAACGAATGGACAGACAGATGAAGGAAAAAATGGACGGACAGACGGACGAACCAACAAATGAACGAATGATACAAGTAACTGGGTTAACACCTGGTTCTCCTCCTTAAACAGATTATATTGACAGAGCATGTTTTACTCTGGCATTATCATGTATCGTACAGCACATTGTATCACCTGCTCTGTGTTCAGGCTCCAGTTTGTGACGTCCAGGTTGTTTTCGAGTTCGGACAGTAAAGATGTGTCACTGTGACTCTTCTCCTGGAGCGCCACTTCATCCTGGAGCTCCACTACCTGACTCTGCAGATCTTGTGCCCAGAAACGAACCCTGTCAACTTCCTGCCAGGCCTCTGCCAGCTGAGATGGTAAAAAAAATACATATTAATATCACTTATGGTTATGTTAGAAACCTGTGCATAATAAAGAAACTGATAAAGGTTTGGACACGCCTGAGGGAGAGTAAATAGTGTGTAACATATTTTTGTGTGAACTATCCCCTTAAAGACTGGTTCCAGTATCCTTTCGTTATCGGCTAACATTGTGTATAGTGCTTTAAATGAGCAGTGTGTGTGTGTGTGTGTGTGAGTAGATGAACCTGTTGTGTGTGTTTGTGAGTCTGTTGTTCCTGCAGATCCAGGCGTGTGTATAGTGAGGACACCGTGTCTCTCAGTTCTTCATTCTCATGACAGGACATTTTCAAGCGCTGCTCCAGTGTTTGCTCTCTCTGTGTGAGTCGTGCAACCTAAACACACACAAACACAAAACAGTTCCCGCACACATAACTTCAACATTTTCACAGTATGTCTGATAATATTTTTTCTTCTGGAGAAAATCTTGTTTGTTTTATTTCGGCTAGAATAAAAGCAGTTTTTTTTAAAAAACTATTTTAAGGTTAATATTATTTAACCCGAGCTCATTCTGTAAACGTACCCCTATATACATTTCTGGAGAGCACCAAATACGTCCCCTGTTTTGCAGTTTTTGTTTTGATGAATCCACCAGAGGCCGCTGTGTATGCTTTTTCAATCTCAAATTTCTCTCGCGAGTGCCATTCACTCCTGCCGTTCTCATATAAATCCACCAGAAGCTGCTGTCGACTGACTGACTGACCGATCGACTGACCCATCTAATGCTGTCCCTGAACCCAACCGACAGTGTTTTCAAAAGCAATCCAGAAAAAGAAAAGCCCTCGCCTGATTTTTACCACATTTTCAGATCTTACCACATTCTCACCCCTGTTATTTACTTGTTTATTTTATTTTTTGGCTTTTGTTTTTGTTTTACCTGCTTGCTGGAATCGTTCTTCACTGGACTCGATCCATTTAATGGTTATCTCCTCAAGTCCGCCGATGGCGAGTTAACGGGACAAACTGGTAACAGCGGGAAAGCCGTCCATACAGTGGTCCATATCGTTCGTTTTAGAGACGAAATGCAGCCATGTTTTTATTATTACTCGTACATTATTATGTTGAAATAATCTCTCTGTTAAACAATTGGGAAATATTTTTTAAATAATTAAATTTCAAAGTTTGTGAATCTGTGTAAATAAAGATCATTTAACAACACAGGCTCATTCTGAAAACGTAGTCCCGTTGACGTTTCTGGAGACCGCAAATTATGTAGCCTGAGATTCGTATGGCTGCATTTAATTTTTTTAAGCGAACGCTAGGGGGCGGTGTGACGCCGTTCCCTTTCGCGCTTACCGGCTGACCGCTTACCTCCGTGTGGAGGGCTTTCCTGCTGCAACCAGTTTGTCCAGTTAGCTCGTCGTGTACGTTGGCAGACTTGAGACGCAGAGAGGAGTTGACCACAACAACAACAACCGGGTTCGAGTCTGGTAAAGAGCGGTTCCAGAAATCAGATAAGACAAAAACAGAATCCAAAATCTAAAAATTAAACGAACAAGTGAATAACAGAGTGAGAATGTGGTAAAAACGCGCTAAAAATCCGACAAAGGCTTTTGTTTTTCTGGACGGTTTTGTAAATCGGGTTGGGTTTAGGGAAGTAAGGGGGCAGGCGGGTCAATCAGTAAAATTGGTTGGGTTTTGGGAAGAAGAAGGGTGGGTCATTCGGTTGACAGCGGCCTCTGGTGGATTTACGTGAGAACAGCGGGCGCGAACGGCACTCGTGAGAGAAATTTGAAATATGAAAAAGCGCACATTTTTTCATTTTAAAAAAATAATATAAAATATATGAAATAATGATAAAATAATATAAAATATATAAAATAATGATAAAATGATATAAAATATATTAAATAATGATAAAATTATATAAAATTATCAATATAAAATAATGATAGATCTATTTTTACTAGTCATGTGAACAATATGTAAACATCTTTTATGTAAATTATCGTAAAATAATTCTGGACAGTACTAAATAGTAAAAATGACGTGCATTTTGTATAGTATAATCTCTCATTTTCTATTGTTTACATTTTTAACAATTCAAAAACTTTTTTAAATATCAAAAAAAAAAATTCAAGAAAATTTTCACAGTACTAGGTTGCATCTGGAAGGACATCCGCTGCGTAAACATATGCTGGAAAAGTTTGCGGTTCATTCCACTGTGACGCCCCTCGATCAAAAAGAGACTAAGCCAAAAGAAAATGAATGAATGCAGTGGCGGCTTTAGGCATGGGCAATATGGGCGATCGCCCAGGGTGCCATCTTGCTGGGGGCGGCACGGGGAGACAAACAAAAGTGGCCGTATTTTGACCCTTGCCTTGTTTGTTTGTTTACGTTGCCTGCTGCCTGCCTTTTGATCATCCACCAGTGATATGACCACAACTCTGGATTTGCCTGTCTACATTTGTTTGCCCCTGTGTTGACCATTATGTGCCTGACCATTCTGCTGAATAAATCCTGCATTTGGATCTGCACTCCGTTGTCCAGCGTCCACTTCACATTCTAATAATATTGACATTAAATTGGCTTTAAAAAAATTTAAAACTGCTTTTATTCTGGAAAAATAAAACAAATAAGACCCTCTTCAAAAGAAAAAAACATTATAGGAAATACTGTGAAAAATTCCTGAATCTGTTCAACATCATTTGGGAAATACTTTGGAAAAAATGTAATTGAAATGTATCATTTTGACTGTATCTGTATATATTTATGCAAGCACATGTTTCCCACCTGTTCTCTAAGAGCATTGATCATCTCTTCATCTTGAGGTCTGGCCTGTCCTCTTTCTCTCATTTCCTGCTTCAGTCTTTGCAGTTCGCCGGTCATGGCTCGCTCCACCTCTATTCCCTATGCACACACAATCACAGCTCACTCATTAAAGGGTATCTATTATGCAAAAATCACTTCTATAAGGAGTTTAAACACAGTTGTGTGGCAGTAGTGTGTAAATATATCCAGCTTCTAATGGTAAGCATGTATAAATTGTATTGTTTATAATCATACATGATTACAGCAGTCTGCAGAAACACTTTGATTGGCATTCTCCCTTTGTACATCTTTCTTTCTTTCTGACTTCCGGTTTTGTTCCACTGGGTCCCCTCAAGGTTGCTGCCTCTCACCTCTTTTGTTCATCATGTATACTAACGATTGTCGTAGTATTCACAGGGATTGTCATATCATTAAATATGCAGATGATTCTGTGATTGTAAGTCTCCTCCACGATCAGGATTTGGGGCATGGACCTGCTGTGCAGGAGTTTACTTCCTGGTGTGATAGATTTTCTCTCCAGTTGAATGCAAGCAAAACAAAAGATATGGTGATAGATTACAGGAAGGCTTCTCCAACCCCGAACATAACTAATATTAAAGGCTTGGACATTGAAATTGTTGACACACATAAATATCTAGGGGTTGTTATTGATAATATGTTGACATTTCAACCTAACACCCAGGCGGTATATAAAAAAGTCCAACAAAGACTGTTTTTTCTGAGGAAACTTAGATCATTTCAGGTCTGTATCTCTATGATGATGCTGTTTTATAAACAATTTATCGAATCTGTTTTATCTTTTTGCATTGTAGCTTGGTACGGCAATCTTAGTGTGTCAAGCAAGAACAGGTTGAGCAGCCTGGTGAAGGTGGCAGGCAAGATCATTGGTTTTAATCAGACTGGTCTAATGGTAATCTACCAAAACTATGTACTAAGGAGAGCTCAGGGTATCCTATGCACCCCGGATCACCCATTGTTCTCTGTATTTCAGCTGTTGCCATCAGGACGTCGTTTTAGGGTTCCTATTTGCAGGACAAATAGAACCAGAAATTCTTTTATAATGGTGGCCATTAGGTCATTAAATGAGTCCAGGGGGGAGGGGGATGTCTCTATATACTGATGTATGGATGTTGTGTAGTAGTATTTTTTAATGTGTACATGGAACTTCGCCTGTGTTATGGTACCTTGTTGCAATTTTAGTTTCCCTAATGCCTAGTTCACACTAAAGGATTTTAAGCCTGATTTGAGCCCGATTTGGAAGTTAACGAGCTCGCCGACAGATCGGGCTGTGATCGGGAAGAAATCTGCGGGCGCTCGCCGCTCTTTATGTGTGAACTACTGAACAACGCATCAACGAGGCTCGCTGACGCGTCGCCGACACCTCGCAGACGGAAATCCAACATTCAGCATGCTAAATATTCCAGAGCAGTCGGCCGACTCAACCCCACGTGTGGTCAGATGTAGTGACGAGCTGCAGCCAATGAGAGAGCAGATCAGCATGAGCCGCGTGCCTGTGTGTTCAGGAGCTCAGCAGAAACATCTGTGATTGGTCAGAATGGGCATCGGTGCACTCGCTTCATTCTGCGTTAGCACAGACATGAGAGGAGGATATATTAACTGTGGAACTAGAATTCTGTAACTATTAGAATTACCATACTGCTCATTCTGACCGTTCTCATATGAAACGCCATATTGTCACAACATATTTACATTCAAAGCTATTATTGAGATATTAAAATTAAGCTTTGAATGTCTGGCATCATATTTAATGACACCATTACCCTAAAAATATCATCTTTTTTTTTTTTGTAATACAGCCTATAAATATGTAGTTAAGATACTAAAACACTTAAAGGTCTTGGCTTTCATTTTCACTGTCAAACAGGAGCTATTTCACAGCACAGAATATGCTGTTTTGAAAGATATCTGAAGTAAATTGATGTTTTTGCCATCAGAAAGTTTTGTTTATGTTAGCAGGAAGTTGCCAGGCAAGAAAATGCACACATATTTAAAGTCACTGTGAAAAGTATCAGACATGCATGCTGTCATTTTGACCAATATGGTAATTTAAGGCAGAAATGCTCAGTTCTTTACTGTTTTGTAATAAAAAAAAATAACAATGTCAGAAAGAAATACACTGATAGTTAGAAAACGGCACGGTGTTATAAATATGTTAGTTTTATTTCAAAGAGTTATAAAATTACAAAAATTAAAAACTCTCTGTGTATCTATCCACTCAAACCTTGCAGATGAGTGATTAATCCGCTCATAAATCAGCTGATCTGACGATGTTTTTAAATGCTTTCTCCAAAGCTTGAAACACTGTCAGTGATGTCATCAGCACACAAGCAGCCAATAGTGTTCAGCTTTTTCTGACGACTCCTCCCTCAAAATTTCATTGGCTGTGGTTTGGTAGCTTGAATGAGCTGATGGGGAATGAGTTGTTGTCAGATCATGTAGTGTGTGACCCCCCTCTTGTGGATCGTTCACGGAGTGTTGCGTAGTGTGAACACCACAGAGATTAAAAGACACAAAGTCAGGTCATGTAGTGTGAACGGCACAGCGATCTGCTGATGTTTAAAATCCTGTAGTGTGAACTAGGCTTAACGGGATAATAAAGCTGAGTCTGAGTCTGAGTATATGCCATCAGAGAGGGAAAGCCCCGCCCACTAATGACCATCTCTCCCTCATTAGCATAATAGCACAATAAACGGTGAGGTACGTTTCATTTTGTGGTTGAACTATCTCTTTAAGCTGGAATGACGTCTGAAAGCACGCAGTTTGTTGAGGATAATGTGAATTACGTAAGGTTTATCTCACAGCAGATGACTGAACAGCACAAGTGAGAATGATTTACAAAGTCAGGCAATTAAACTGTGACTGATTTGCTGAATCAGTGTTGTGTGGCAATGACGATTAAAGGACAGTTCAAAGTGCTGGCTTACAGCGGGAGAAATAAATATTGAACACGTCATGCTTTTTTCCTGGGAATAATATCTCTTAAGGAGCTGATGACATGGAAGAAAACCAGATTTTGGTAAAAATCCAAACGATACAAACATGAAAATAAAACAAAACAAACAAAATCTAATAAATGAGTTTTACATACTATGAATGAAATGACACAAGGAGAAAGTGCTGAACTACTGTTATGTATTTACTTGTCGCCAGTAAAACGCAGCAAAGTGTTTGACCACCTGAAATCTTTAAACACTAAAATCGCCTTTTTGCAAGAAACGCACTTAATACCAGCGGACCATCTTAAACTTCGTAAAGGATGGGTGGGCCAGCTTTTTCATTCTTCATTTTCAAATAAGGCAAGAGGCACCGCTATTCTTGTGCACAAGTCAGTACCACTCTCGGTAACTAAAATAATCTCAGACCCCAATGGTCGCTTTATTGTTGTAGTAGGGAAGCTCAATGGCAACAATTTAATTCTTGCTAATGTATATGGCCCAAACTGGGACAACATGGATTTTTTTAGTAAATTCCTGTATTCTCTTCCAGATATAAATTATTGCCAGCTTATTCTTGGTGGTGATTTTAATTGCTGCCTAGATCCTTTATTGGATCGTTCATCTACCAGGCCCCTTTCTTTGTCTAAGTCATCCCAAGTCATAAAGCTATTTATGGAGCAGCATTCAGTGTCTGATGTATGGCGCTTTTTCAACCCTTGCGATGTATTTACTTGTGCAAGAAATGTGTTTTCTTGACTTGTGGTGCAGTCAAGATCACAAGGTCTGTTTACCATAACAAAAACACATCGGCAACCAAACCATGACAAGTCCTTATAGTTTCTGCTTCACTCAACACTCTTTAAGAGCCAGAGAGAGAGAAAACAACACGTGATGAACGTTGAAATAAATAGGACATGCTTCCTTCTTCCTTGAGAGGACTGAATACACACACATCAACTTTGATTTTCTGGAAAAAAAAAAAAAGACATTTTATTTTAATGTACAATTCACACTATTAACAAACCCTTAACTAAGACTTTTAGCTTGATAAACTACTGATTAGCTGCTTATTAATAGTTAGTAAGGTATTAGTAGGGTTTAGGTTTGGGTATTGGCTAGGACTAGGAATGTAGAATAAGATCATACTTTAAAAGTGGTAATCAACAGTTCATATATTAATAATATGCAGGTAATACTGCAATGGTAAATGCTGGGAATTGGTACTTAAACTACAGTGTTTCCAAATTTGAGTCTATTGACATGTGACTTGTGGAGAATGACAGAGGTGTTGGATTTCTGAGTGGAACGGTGTTAGTTACAAGCTTAACAGAGCACAGCCTTAGTGCTTTGGCGTGTTTGTCATTGCAATCTGTGATTAAATGTTATGAATGGCTTTTTAAATGAGCTCAAGGGTTTGACATCTGGTGGGAGAGAAGAGAAAGGTAAACCTTGACCTTGAGCGGGATAAATCTGTGATCTCGGATACCAGCTTACTGTGACGGGAACGAGAGTAAAAGCGGTATAAACAGAGTCAACAGGAGCAGGTGAAAATAAAAGAGGGTGTAAAAAAAAAAAAAGAAAAATTCAGTATCACTTTTGTTGATACCCATCTAATTGCACTAATTATATATATTTTTAACAACTGTTTTGTAGCAAAATGTAGGCTGAAAAACTGTATTACCTATTAGGCTTGGGCGGTAATACAGTAATATGGTATACCGCGGGATCTAAACATAGCAACGGTGTCAGTTTCAATACCGTTACACCATCATAAAAACAATGCACTAATAGGAGACAAGTATTAAATATTAAATATTATTTATTTAATGCCTACAAATGCGTATGCGTGAATGTCATCACGGGACAGTGTGGAGGAGAGAGAGAGAGGAAGAGAGAGAGAGAGGTGAGGTGGCGAGTCGTGCACGAAGTGACCTGCAGTTTGGCAGTATTTCAGGTTTCGACCGTACGAGAAGGGAGACATGATAAATACGAACTAGAGGTCTGCATTCCCGCTGATGTACCGCGGGAGTCAGCCAGATTTCTTACGGTGCGGGAATAAGTTTCCGAATAAAGCGCGGGAGCGGTTGGTAACTCTGGTGTAATTTGAAAGGGAGCTCCTGAGCGAGCGAGCACGCACGCATCCACATGGATGCTGTTTGTTTGTGTTTGTGTGTGTGTGTGAATGAGAGAGCGTAGTGCTGTGCATCTCTCTCTCTCTCTCTCTCTGTGCGTGCGTGAGAATGAGAGCGAGAGAGCGTCTTGTGCATATCGCTAATACGAACAAGACAAACAGGTGACAGCGAACCTAAGGTCGCATATACGGTATTTAGTTTTTGAATGGTTTAGACACAAGCCTATATATATATATAATAAACAATTATATATATAATTAAAAATAAATAACAGTAATATTGTTATTATACAATTATTATTCTAAATAAATAACAAAAATTTATTCTAAATGTAACTAAAAAACAATCTAAATGTAGCGGAGGCCAGCTAATAAGTTCTGTGCTGGTAAACCTCACTCCTCTGACCTCTAAAAGTGCTCTAGTGACATACGCTAGAGGCCATGGTCTTTGCCTCCTTGGTAGAGCAACCGACTCCCATGCGGAAGGTCGCCAGTTTTTTACCAGCCTGGAGCTGGTTGGGTGGCTTAGGACTTGCGGGGTTATATTGGTGCCGTGACCCGGATGGGAGTGAGGGGGGGTGAGTGTAACGGAGGCCAGCTAGTAAGTGCTGTGCAGGTAAACCTCACTCCTCTGACCTCTAAAGGTGCTCTAGAGACAGATGCTAGGGGCCATGGTCTTTAGCCTCCTTGTTAAAGCACCCGACTCCCATGCGGAAGGTCGACGGTTCAATCCCAGCTTGGAGCAGGTTGGGTGGCGTAGGACCGGCGGGGTTACAGAAAAAACACAACTGAGTGATGCTAAGATAATTTCAGAAATATTTTGCATTAATAATAATTTTATTACAATGAAATGTTTTATAGAATGTTATATATATAATTTATATTTATTGGGCCCTCTAAAACCACCCCAGTTTCCCTAATGTGGCCTGTTGTGTAAATGAGTTGCCCACCCCTGGTGTAGAGTGTGTGACTGACCCTCTGCAGTTGCTGTCTGAGTCTCTGGCACTGTTCGCCGTGCTCTTGCTTCAGTCTGCTCTTCTCTATTTCAGCCTCATGGAGACTTTGCTTCATTTCCTCCACCTGCGCTTGCAGTTCCTGCACGTCTCGCTCCAGCTCCGACACCTGACCCTCCCACTGAGCCTGGCAGTTCTCCAGCTTCACCTGCAGCTCGTACCTGCTCTGCTGGAGCTCCTGGAGACACAACACACATACCGGACATCTTTAAAGTACACATGAAATCAAAACTAGCCATGTTGATTTTGTTAGCTCACATCGCTAGTTTAGCGGTGAACAATTCATCTGTGCATGTCATTAAGAAAATTGGTTTGTCCTTGTAGCTTAAAATTGAAATCTGAAAATGCACTTCCTGTTTGTTTTCAAGTAAACTCTCACATTCGGTCTGTCTGAGGTACTGGAGGTGGCTAACAGCTGTCAGTTTTGACAACAAAACAGAAATTCTGAGGAGGAGGTGTCTGTTAGGTTGTAATAACACTACATAAACCCTTTTCTCTGCTCTGTCTTTCTGAATGAAATGCCTACTTTACTACATCCCTGCTGAAAAATCCAGCTTAAACCAGCCAAAGCTGGTTGGCTGGTTTAAGATGTTTTTTTTTGAGTAGGGATCCAATCAGCTCGCAGTAGAAAAACAAGCCACACCCACTGTTTTCTCATTTAATATTCCATTTCTCTAGTAACTGCATCACAATAGTAAAAAAATGGTTGCAGCTTCCGGTTCATGCAGCATTTAAACTTCACCATTCAATCATAAAAGTGTTCCTTCAGAGTGGATTATCGCTAGTTCATGCACTAGTAAGAACATTATTGGTTAATTTGGTCACTTTACGGTACATTTCTTGCTATGAGCAAACCATTAACTAAGTCTTTTGGCTCAATAAACTACTAGTAAGCTCGTTAATAGTCATAGATATATACATTAGATGTCGCCTACCCTGTTGTTGTCTATTGGAAGGAATGCGTCAATAGAGCCGCCATCTTGGAACAGGGTAGCGCTCCTTCGAAATGAATGCGGGAGCAAGGTACAGTGGAGGACTGTGGCCATCCAAAGCCAGAGATATACACATATATATATGATCGGGAGTTTTCCCTGGATGTTAGTATGCAATATATATATATATATATATATATATATATATATATATATATATTTTTTTTTTTTTAATTACAAAAATTTTAATTTTACATCACTTTTCTACAATGATGGATTAGTGATCGCACGGGCATTCCTGACAAAAAGCTTGTGTATGTGTGTATGGAAATGTACTATTCACCCTCCCTGTTAAATCTGATCTAATCACGTCCTGAAACACAGCTCCTCTCCTGCTTTCACTTCTCATACTGACGGAGGAAGCGATTCGTTTGTGAATGAATCTCCGTTATGAACAACTCTTTCACTAGCCGACAATAATGCAAGTTTCTGGTACCGCAGCATCTCGTCATGTTTCTTTTGCATTGTTTGCTGATTTTATTCAACAAAACTAGCATAAGCCGAGTGTTTAGTGCGAGTTGGAGCTGCTTTGTCTTATGGTGAATGCAGTCCCTGCTGAGAAATCCAGCTTAAAACAGCCTAGGCTGGTTGGCTGGTTTTAGCTGGTCGACCAGACTGGTTTTAGAGGGGTTTTGGCCACTTCCAGGCTGGTTTCCAGCCATTTCAAGCCTGGATTTGGCTGGTTAGGCTGGAATATGACCAGCTACAACCAGCCTAGCCAAGTGGAAGTCCAGCCAAAACCAGCTAGTTCCAGCTTAAACCAGGCTGGTCAAGCTGGTTTTAGCTGGATTTGGCTGGTCATTTTCCAGCCTGACCAGCTAAGACCAGGCTGGAAATGGCTGGAAACCAGCCTGGAAATAGCCAAAACCCCTCTAAAACCAGCCTGGTCAACCAGCTGAAACCAGCCAACCAGCCTAGGCTGGTTTAAGCTGGATTTTTCAGCAGGGAAAAAGTCTCACTTTAAGTTAATGGTTTATGTACCATTCACGTTACTAACAAACCATTAAGACTTTTACTTCAACTACTCACCCACATAGCAGACGTAGCCCTCTTTGAAAGATTGTAACATCTGCTAAACATCGCAATCAATAGATTTTTGTTTGTTTGTTAATGAGCCGTCTTCAATAGGCTACCTCTATACGCCGTCTATACGATGAATCATGGTCTCTTTTTTGATAGAAATTAAGGTAGTAGGCTATTAATAGTGTGAATTATTACTTAAAATGAAGAGTAACAATAAGGATGTATTATTAGTTAAATGTTATATAAGGGATTTATGATGAACAATGATATATATTTTTTTACAGTACTCTAATACAGTATTTGTATGTCTGTGTGGAGTTTGCTTGTTCTCCCGTGTTCGAGTGGGTTTCCTCCAGGTGGTTTCACCCATAGGCAAAACTGGCCCTAGTGTATGTGAATGCAAGAGTGTACCCTGCTAAAAAATCCAGCTTAAACCAGCCTAGGCTGGTTGGCTGGTTTTAGCTGGTTGACCAGCCTGGTTTTAGAGGGGTTTTGGCCATTTCCAGGCTGGTTCTCAGCCATTTCCAGCCTGGTCTTAGCTGGTCAGGCTGGAAAATGACCAGCCAAATCCAGCTAAAACCAGCGTGACCAGCCTGGTTTAAGCTGGATATAGCTGGTTTTGGCTGGACTCCCAGCTTGGCTAGGCTGGTCAAGCTGGTTTTAGCTGGTCATCTCCCAGCCTGACCAGATAAGACCAGGCTGGAAACCAGCCCGGAAGTGGCCAAAACCCCTCTAAAACCAGCCTGGTCGACCAGCTAAAACCAGCCAACCAGCCTAGGCTGGATTTTTCGGCAGGGTATTGGTGTTTCCCAGTGTCAGGTTGCAACTGGAAGGGCATCCACAGCGAAAAACATGCTGGATAAGTTGGCGGTTCATTCCGCTGTGGCGACCCCTGATTAATAAAGGGACTAAGCCGAAAAGAAATTGAATGATTGAGTATTAGTGTGTAACTTCAGTTGATGCAGACACAGCTGTTCTCACGGTGCATTAACTAATGTTAACAAGCATGAATTTGGATTCTAATAATGCATTAGTAAATGTTGAACTACGATTAATAAATGCTGTACAAGTTCTGTTCACACTTAGTTCGTGTTAGTAAATACTATGAAACCTTACTGTAAAGTGTGACCAAGAAATATAAACGCGACAGCAGGAACTTTAGCCCTCTCACCTCAATCTGCTGTGTGTATTTTTCCAGAAAAGTGTCCCTTTCTTCCTTCATCTGTCTGTTTTCCATGAGCAAAGCATTTCCCACCTGAGCAGCGAGTATAACTTCATCCTCCTTTTGCCGAAGAGCCGCAAACAAGTCCTCAGAGTCCTGATAAACCGGCGCATCATCTTCAGCATTGCTGAACTCAAACATGTAGAAATCCTCGCTCACTTCCATTTTAATAGCTGATGGAGCTCCAGTGCGAAGAGATTTAAAAAGAGCCTCGGGTCTTCATGTATGCCTGTGAAAGCGAGTCGTCGAGTTGTTGTCACTGGTTTAGTTTGAAGGCAGATAATGGGGATGGGAAATGCAGTGGGCTGGGCTTGCGTCTTACTTTCAGGTGATTCTTCGGGTTAATCGTTTACTAGACGTCGTGTAGACGTTCACTGCATACAATGTTTTTCTTAAGAGTTTTTTTTGTCTTGTTTCTAGTCTAAATGTGTCAAAATGAAGTTGGCTTTATTTGCTTAGAACAAGCTAAATAATCGGCCAATGGGGTAAGTAAAAATAATATTAGTTTCGCATGGAAATAAGTTTACTTTGCTCACTCCATTGGCACATTATTTAGGTTTTGAGAAAAAACACACCTATTTTGATATACAGCCCTCCTGTTCAATTTTAAAACTTGTATATTTGCTCCCCAATGTCTGTTTAACAGAGATTTTTTTCAACATTTCTAATCATAATAGTTTTAATAACTCATTTCTAATAACTGATTTATTTTATCTTTGCCATGATGACAGCACATATTTTACTAGATACTTTTCAAGACACTTCTATACAGCTTAAGGTGACATTTAAAGGCAGAACTAGGTTAATTAAGTAAAAGTTAGGGTAATTAGGCAAGTCATTGTATAACAGTGGTTTGTTCTGTAGACATTCGGAAAAGAAAAATGCTTAATAATATTGACATTTTTAAAATAGTTTTAAAAAAGTTAAAAACTGCTTTTATTCTAGCCGAAATAAAACAAATAAGACTTTCTCCAGAAGAAAAAATATCATAGGAAATATTATACTAAACTATTATAGGAAATACTGTGAAAATGTACTTTTGCTAATACTAATTATTTAATTAATTAATTGCTATTTACTTGACAAATATTAAAAAAAAAAAAATTCACAGAAGGGCTAATAATTTTACCCTCAACTGTATATATTTATGAAAACAAGACAATAACTTGTCTAAAAAAATAAAAATAAATAAAATTATATATATATATATATATATATATATATATATAAAAATCTTAAATTAAGAAGCATTTTTATTAAGCATATATATATATATATATATATATATATATATATATATATATATATATATATATATATATATAAAATCTTAAATTAAGAAGCATTTTTATTAAGCATATATATATATATTTGACTGGAAACAAGACAAAAACAGTGTTTTGCATTGAACCTTTTCCACATTTTCTATGTTACAGCCTTATTCCAAAATAAATGTAGCTATTTCCTCAGCATTCTACACACAATACCCCATAATATTAATCTTCAATTAATCAATTAATGTTCAATTAATTTCTCGATTCTTTGATTTCAGGCCAAATCGCCCAGTCTTACTACTAGCGCAGCTTAACAAACATAAACAGCAAACATCATTCACAACAAAAACTGCACAAGCACAAGCTAATCATCAGACTGGCATATTTGTTTTATTATTCAATATCTTGTCTTTTCCAAACATGTACACAGAAGTTTCAAATGATAAAGTATATATACATACATGTTGGTGTACATACTGATATCCTCTAAAAAGTCAAGGGGCGTGGGGTCATGACTGCTGTGCGTTTAAAGAGACAGTAAGGTAGGATTCTGCTGGAAGTCCACACACATACACACACACAAAAAGGGAGATCTGCTAAACGGAAATAAAAAAAATGGATATAGAGCAGTGTTTCTCAACCACGTTCCACGAAGGATCGCCAGCACTGCATGTTCGTGTGTGTGTTCGTCACACCCAGGTCTTTCAGTCTCTGCTAACGAGCTGATGATCTGAATCAGGCGTGTTCGGTTGAGGAGACAAGGAGAATGTGGTGGTCCTCCAGGAACATGGTCGAGAAACACTGATATAGAGAATCTCCAGTGCACTTCAGTTAAGCATGTTGGGAGAAAAACGAATAACCGTGGGAGCTGCCTACATAGTGGAGACAAGAGACCGAGCTTAATAATATCACACTGTTCTATCCTTCTTAAAAGGGAGCGAGTGTGTGAAGGAAAACCGTGGAAGTTTTACACAGCAGCTCAATTTGTTTTGTGACATTTATCATGTAGGTTGGACAAACAGAAACCCTAGCCTGCAAGACAGATGCTGTGCGTGGAGTTTCTTTATTATACGTTGCTTTTCTTTTCCTCATGTGAACAGATGACACGTTAATATCTATACTACTACAGTATTAATGACCGTTCTCCCTCCCAACACTTCACTAAATGTAAAGGAAACGGTCCTGCGATGTATTCACGGGGCAAACGAAAGGTTCATGTAGAAACACAGATTTTGTAAAGTGTTGATCAGGGTTTTGATCCGCATGGTCGCAGGAGCTGTAATTCTACATGAGCGCTCTTATTTTGTGACGCTACACATATATATTTGTTGTTCTTTGGTACAATTTAGTTTTATTATCATCCGATTCAAACTGTGTAGCTTCACATGAACACCTAATGACCAAGGAGGGGGTATCAACCCAAGGATGACATCTATTCAAGGCAGGGGTGTCCAAACTCAGTCCTGGAGGGCCGGTGTCCTGCAAAGTATAGTTCCAACCCTAATCAGACACACCTGGGCTAGCTAATCAAGCTCTTACCAGGCTTTCTACACTCTCAAAAACAAAGGTACGCGAGCCGTCACTGCACATTTGTACTTAAAGGGTCCATATTGGTACCTCAAAAGTATATATTAGTACCTAAAGTATATATTAGTACCCTTTTAGGTACTAATATGTACCCTTGAGGTATTAATATGGACATTTTAGGTACAGATTTGTACCTTTTGAAAAGGTACCACCCCAGTGACAGCTCGTGTACCTTTATTTCTGAGAGTGTAGAAACATCCTTGCAGGACACCAGAGTTTGGACACCCCTGATTTAAGAGATAGCTCACCCAAAACTTCCAAAGCTCATCCGAGATGTAGGTGACTTTCTTCATTGAACATTAAAGATTCTAAGCTGAATCCGTGGTCTTTGGTGACTGATATAATGGCGGTGAATGGTGACCGGTTTACTACACTGCAAAAAATGCTTTTCTTACTTAGATTTTTTGTCTTGTTTCTAGTCCAAATATCTAAAAACTCTTAAATCAAGACGAATTTTTTAGACATGCAAAACATACTGCCTTGTTTTAAGATATAATATGCCAAAATTAGGTGAGTTTTTCCTTAAAACAAGCTAAATAATCTGCCAATGAGGAAAGCAAACAAATCTTATGTCAAAAGGAAAAACAAGATTCATTTGCTTATCCCATTGGCAGATTATTTTGCTTGTTTCAAGGAAAAACTGCCTTAATATTGGGATATTATTGCTGAAAACAAGACAATATATTTTGCTTGCCTAGAAAATGTTTCTTGATATAAGAATTTTTAAATATTTGGACTAGAAACAAAACAAAAAATCTAAGTAAGAAAAGCATTTTTTGCAGTGTAGATTAAAAATAAACACACATAAATGGGTACAAATCAATAACCGTGGCTCATGAAGACACAATGAGGTCTTGTGAGGCCAAACGATCACCCAGTATAAGAAATTAAACATTATTATACAGTATTATGATGAATTCTCAGGAATACAATCGGACTGCATTCACACATGCGCCGAGAACTGTTTGACCAGGATGTGGATTAAAGCTAATAATATTGTAAACAATGTTTAGTTTCTCACACTGAGCGATCGTTCGGCTTTATTAGACCTCATGAGGAGCCACGACTATTGATTTGTACTCATTTATATGTTCATTTTTAATGTAATAAACCGGTCACCATTCACTGCCATTATATCAATCACCGTCACATTCAGCTCAAAACCTCCTTTAAAGTTCTCCTGAAGACAAAACAGTCATCTAAGATGATCTGTGGGCGAGTAAAATAACAGGAACTGTTCATTTTTGGATGAACTATCGGTTTAATGCACAAATAACATTCCCATTTCTTCTTCAAATTAGAGTTTGTGTCTCGTTTCTAGTCCAAATATCTAAAAACTCTTACACTGAGAAGCATTTTCTAGACAAGCAATACATATGGTCTCGTTTTCAGAAATAGTATGCACACATTTGCTCCTTAAAGCAAGCACAATATTCTTATTTCAAAGCAAAAACAAGATCATTTAAGTTACACATTGGCAGATTTAGCCTGTTTTAAGGATAAAACACTTACTTTTGATGTATTATCTCTGAAAGCATGCCTATATTGTTTATTAGTCTAGAAAATGCTCCTTGATTTAGGAATTTTAAGATATTTGGAGTAGAAACGAGACATTTTTTGCAAAGGCATCATAAGTTTACTACTCAAACGATGCACTAATAAGGATGATGATATAGGAACTGTTTAAATGTTTGTGCGCAAGGAAGAAACCTTTTTTTTTGTTTGAAACGGCGATAAGAAGAAAGTGAGGATGGATTTGGAGGGATTGGCGTGGACTTCAGACCACAGCAGCTTCTGTGTGAGAAAACCTCTACATCATACCCATCTGCATCAGGGAGTTGGCGTATGCCATCGGTTTGACATTTGGATGAGGCTGTAGAGAAAAAGAGGAAGAAATCAGTTTATGGGCTGCATTTATTACAGCAACACATCGAGGACAACATATACACTTCATTGAACATGCGCATATAGACGTGATCTATAAACTATATCACTTTCCAAAACTTTTCCAGGCCTGAAAAATGACATGTTAAAATTTCATGACTTTTCCAGGTTTTTCATGGCCGATTGAATTAGGGCTGCAACTAACGATAATTTTATTTCATTGATTAATCTGTTGATTATTTTTTTGAATAATTGATGAATCGGGTTTTATTGAAAAAAGCTCATCCCTGAGCTGTTATAATAATAATAATAATTAATAATAATAATAATAATAATCTATGTAGCTTTGTTCTGTTTTCAATCCAAATATCGAAATATTTTTAAATCAAGACACATACTAGACACATGCAATAGCATAAGAAATGATGTCTTGCTTTCTGAAAAAGACCCACCTTCGAATTGAGTGATTATTTGCTGAAAACAAGTTAAATTATTTGTGAATTGGGTAAGAAAAATAATCTTAATGAGATATAATCTCAAACAGAAGTTTTACCGGTTCACATAAACGTGTAACCGTAAGTTCACACCGAAAGGTCGCTCTGGCCGCCCTGGCGACAACGCTGTCTGCCTTCAGCTCCGGCGGTGAGAGCGTCAAAACTCGATACATTGATCTCGTACTTAAAGGAGCCGTCGCAGCATATCAGTTACATTCCTGCATAAAACATGTTTCTAGCGTGAAAATGTTGCGCACTTCTTATCAAATTCATACAACAATGGAAGATCAAGTTGCATGTGGTGTGGCTTTGCTCTATTTATCCAATATGTGTCCATATGTCTGAAATATCCTGAAGCAGCAGTGCTGTTTTGTACTGTCACATCGTGTGAGATTCCCGATTTTTAAAGATAAATTTATATAACATTAATGAACATCAGTAACTCGCCAGTAACTTATTTGATGCATGTTCCTGTAAGAAAACATTGTAAATAATGGGAAATCCGGCGACCGCAATAATCAAACCCTTGGGAACAACTGTGGTCGGAACCAAAGTTCACAGGTCTGTGTTCTCTGAACTGCTATCAATCGATGGACGTCTTCATTCTGATTGCTTGCCGCCGAACCGCGTCATAGCTCATTACCATAAAGTTGACTTCATTTCAACTCTCCTCGACGCTCACGCTGGCGAAGACGCGCCGCGCTGCTCCTCGCCGCTTATCGACGCCTATCGCCGCCGGCTCTCATTGAAAATGAATGACTTCCGGCTACTTTGACGCTCTCGCCGCTTTCGGTGTGAATGTACGGTAAGTGATCATGATCTATAACGCGAGCTGGTCGTCCACATGTTTACTTGCGGCCGCATGTTTGCCTCATTCATAAAAAGCAGAACACGCAGGATTCAGCACGTAAATTCACCAGGTACTCCCCAAATACATGCAAGCAAGTGGCTGGTGAACTTAGAGAAGAGTAGATTCAACGTTATAGTTACTTTCACTATGTGTGATGTGTATCTGATTTGATTAAATCGGCAAATTATATTTGAATGGATTGTTAGACTTCCTTGCGTGTTTTACAAACTCTAAATGTTTTGTTTTACTAGTACTTGTGTGTATTAACATGTCTAAAACATAAATTCTTTTAGCTTAAAACGCTGCATAATTGTGATAATATGTCTTTCTCAGCGGAGTTAAGTTGGTTTTGTTTTAAAAAAAAATACAAAAAAAGAAGCACTTTTCCGACGGTCCCTTACTGAGAGCTCTGTTCAGCGTGAGCTCTCTCTGGCTCAGCACCAGACGCTAGAGCTGCACGATTCTAGCTAAAATAAGAATCGCGATTTTTTTTGCTTAAAATAAAGATCACGATATTCTCACGATTCTGTAGATGTAAAATAAAGGTATGGTAAAAACAAACATATGGCACAACATTGATAATAATATTATGTGTAGGTCTACTGGTTTCTATAAATAATTCTATTCTACTTACAATAATTCTGATGTTGAATTATTATGTTTGAGATATATGCTTGCAATCTGTCATATTAGACAAATTTATTCACTGGTAAAATCAGACATTTGCCATTATCAGATTATATTCAACAATATATAGGCTAGAGTAGTTAAACTGACATTGTAAACATTTATTTACAAGCACAACTGTGTGTTCACGATGAAAGAAAAATCATATCAAACGATTGCCATAATCATAACTCTAAAATGCGATATGATCATTTAAATGAAGTGCACACTTTCGGTTTCATTTTGACTGCTAAGCGAGTGCTTGTTAATACTTCACGCGCGGCTCCCAAACGATCACTCTGTGCCACAAACTGAATATTATTTACAACTGTATTACCTGTTACTCGCAACATATGCAGGTTCTGTTCACTAAAGTAGACGCGCGCGCGCACCCTCTCTTTGATAACAGCTCGGTCAGCAGCTCACGCCACGTGTGATTTCCCGATCGCAAAAACATCATATTAACATTTTTAGGTGAATTATTGTGTCAATGTCACTGAGCAACATCTGTGAAACAATGAAAAGACTCGTGCAGCCGCCTTTTCTTCTCTCCTGAACTCGAAAATATGATTGGCAGAATCGAAGAAATGCTGGATTAAGATCGCCTAGCGGGTTGAATCGAGATCGCGATCTTTTAACGATTAATTGTGCAGCTCAAGCTCAGTTTGATTTTCTCAGTTGCCGCTCTAAAGGTTAACAAGCTAACGCTAATTTGTCATACTTGTCAAGCTGGATAACAAGTAAAACATCAGCACCAGGGACTTTACGCTCCTCACCTCAAAACGAAACAAAAGTAGGACCCTGCTGTTGAACTCCCGTCCTCCTCATCCCCGTCTATGAGGCGACGAACGATGTATCAGTGCGCGAGAGAGACCGTGTTTACTCCGCTCCATGCTGAACTGAAGTGTTTTTTAATAATCAAACAGTCCAGCGTCGTGTGACACAACGAATCGATTATGAAATTTCTTGCCAGCGCTTTTAGTAATCGATTCTTATTGATTTAATCGATTCGTTGTTGCAGCCTAAGAATGAACTCCAGTTCGAAACTTCAGTTTCTGTACCTGAATACTGTTTGACTCTCCGGAAAACCCTAAAGCACTGTTTGTTTAACTTTTCCTTTGCTCTATTCTAATGATTTTTGCCTGTAATGTCTTTATTTTTTTATTCACCACCGCAGTCAATCTAGATTAATGATTTCTTTCAATCTGGTGGAACTGTATTCATATTGCAGAAACACAAAACATCACCATGCCAGACTTTTCCAGCATCATGCAGCCCTACTTTCAACCAGCAGAACAAAAAATAGCTTCTGAGGCAATCACCAATGGCACCTTCAAACGCCAATAATCTTTTAGCATCCCTTATTCGTAAGGATCTTTCTGTAACAGTGTGTGTGATGTAAATAACAAAAAATAATTCCACTGACCACAGCAGTAAACTGGTGAAACTCTGGCTTGAGGTCTGATCCCCTGAGATGAATGTACGCTCCTTTATTCCCCATCTGGTCACTAAGAGAGAACAGGGAACACACGCACAAAAGAAATGTCATACAGGAGGTTTCATCGTTTTTGCACATTTCACATTGCAGACGAATGCAAAAGCGAATGCGTGTTTAATAAAGCCACGTATAGATTATTACTTCTAAATAATCAGAAATGGCTTGGATTAGTCAATCAAGTGGAGATCTCAAGTGGAAAGACAGCTTAATCTGCCTGGGGAGGTTACTGCATTGTTTCCCCCACGTCGACTCTGTCCCCAGGCCACATTGCCCCATAATGTAATGTAATGTGTATTTATAATGCATTTTTTCATGTATAGCTATACTCTCAAAGCACTTCACCATCATGAGGGGGGGGGGGGTCTCTTCACACCACCACCAGTGTGCAGCATCCATTTGGATGATGTGATGGCAGCCACAGGACAACGGCGCCAGTGCGCTCACCACACACCAGCTATAGGTGGAGTGGAGAGACAGTGATAGAGCCAATTCGGTGGATGGGGAGGATTGAGAGGCCATGATGGGTAATGGCCAATGGAGAGAATTTGGCCAGGACACTGGGGTTACAACACTACTCTTTATGAGAAGTGCTGTGGGATTTTTAATGAACACAGAGAGTCAGGACCTCAGTTTAATGTCTCATCCGAAAGATGGCGCACACTGTCAGTATAGTGTCCCCTAGACCTGCAATCGGGCCATAAAAGTTACGCCCAACAGAACTGATTCGGCCCAAGCCCGACAAGTACATTTTGATTGACAGCTTTTTAAAGCCCGAACCCGTTTATAGCCTGACATTATTCAAATGTGCTCATGCACACAGCTCTTTTGCCTTTTTTCATGAATGAGTCATTTATACCTTTTTAACAATTTATTCATAACAAACGTAGGCTATGGGCCACTTGGAAGTTGGAACAAAGAAATAAAATAAGTCCTCTGTAACATCGAAACATCTCAGCTCTCTAGATAGGCCTGGGTACATATACTTAGACTTTAAATTGGCCAACACACCGATAAAAATAAATCTTTCTTAACCAATTAAATAAAATTAAATTATAAATGATGACGGGTGTTTGACAATAACGAAATTAAGATAAAGGCTCTGCAGGATTTGTTTCACCACTTCTCTTCACAATGGCATTAAGGCGACGATGAAGCTGAATAATAAAAGAATAATGCCAACATTAGCCTGTATACTCTGACTACATTATGATTTTATGGTTTAATTAATATTTAGTTATAATTTGTAAATCCTTTACTCAGCAAGATAAGGCTACGTGATTTTGTGGAGGAACATTATTGAATTCACTGTATGGCTTAAGCGCAGTCCTGCGCTCACTGAGCAGCACTGAGCACTCGTTCACTGCTGCTGCTACTGGCCGGGATGCACTAGCTAATTTAGCATGTTTTGGGTAGGATTGTTTGTTCATCTTCCACCAGCCAAGAACATTTCTTTCATTTTTCATGACAGCAGTTTCAATGTAGCAAGTGACTCCATCATCTTCCCTGTCAGCTTGCTGTACATTGCTGTTTAGTGCTCTACCGTAATACACAGTGTATGAGCGACCGCCGAAATACTTTGGCGGCTAGAATGACTGTTCTTATTGAACTAGCAGCTGGCATGAACACAGTCAAAATTAGCTCTTTTTGACTTCTCCGTTATCTTTTGTTCTTTGCAGGGATGGATTTTAATGTTGTAACACAAATAAATTACTTTCTCGCGCTAATCCAAATGCATCACAAGACGAATGATAGAAATTAAGCCCAGGCAAAAATCTTCAGCTCTAGTGTCCCCTTCACTATACTGGCGCCCCCTGCTGGCCACACTAACACCACTTCCATCAGCAACCTAACTTTCCCATGTGGTCTCCCATCCAGGTACTGACCATGCTCAGCCCTGCTTAGCTTCAGTGAGTGACTGCTCTTGGGCTGCAGGGTGACATGGCTGTGGCCATATTGAAGTTGCTGCATGTCTGCCGGATCCCGTTTTAGCTACTTGTACATTAAGGTAGCGTTCAGAAAAAACAAAACACCTGTGAAGAAACTCGACACAGGGTAATATAAAAACCTGCTGCCAGCTAGCGTTTCAGAAGTGTTATTGCAGAGCAACACAAACAGCATGCAGAAGTATAAATGCACGACTCGTCAGGTGCCGTGCGTCACACCGATCACTCGACGCAGAAACATAAATCAGCCTTTAGGGATAAAGTTGATGCGCAAAGTGAAAAGTGGAATTATTTCAAGCATGTCGCAAAACCTGTTGTGCAACTTGGGTGTTTATTAATAAATAAAAAGCAGTTCTGTTCATTGACGTTTCCTGTTTTGTTTTAATAAGCTGTAGGATGCTTGTCTATCGTGATAAATACCTTAGGTATCGTATCGAAGTCAAAATTTTGGTTTCGTGACAATACTTGCGCGCATGCATGCAAACACACAGCCACATAAGTGTGCATGCTTTTGTGTGTGTGGTTGTGTGGGTGTGTGTGTGTGTTTGCGTGTGAGACAGATAGAGAGATCATCATTTCCATCAACACAATCAAATAGCTGCCAAACAGCACAGACGACATTTCAAACAACTGCTTTCATTTAAAAATGTGATACAGCCAGATTTTTGGGTAAATTCTAGTTTGTCTGTTTCTCAATGCGTTTCCTTTATATACAGAGTAGTGATGCGTGGATGGCGGTTATATCCGCGGGCGCTGCGGATAACCCACAGGTCAGGCGAGGTCGGGAAATAATACACATTATGATTATTGCGGATGGGTCATGGCTGGATGAGATTAATTATGAATAATTTTTGCTTTGTATTTTTTTATACACATTCTGTAAAATACGAAAGTGTCTATAATGCATTTTTGCATCAGGCAAACGGGCCCTAATTTGCACGCTAATTAACAAAAATAAACAAAAAACAGATACAAGAGAAACTTAAAAAGGGAGGAAAGAAAAGTGGCTTGACATTTACAGTATTGCCAAAGCATTTTAGATATGTGTAAAGTATGTAATATATTAACATCATTAAATTAATCAAAAGAAGGTATTGATTCGCACTCAATTGCTTCGTACTGTTTTTATTTTTACTTTTTCTTACATTTTACGGGTGATAACAGACAGACAGTCTGTCTGTCTTTCTGTTATCACCCGTAAAATGTAAGAAAATGTAAAAATAAAAACAGTACGAAGCAATTGAGTGCAAATCATTACTTTCTTTTGATTAATAGCAACGATAAGATTAACGCACCAAACCAAAGAAGTACTTTGGTACTTTTTTAGAAGAACTAAAAAAACCGCAAGCGCGCAGGACAAACTTCAGTAACTCTGCATCATTAAATTAATAAAATATACAGCAACTGAGAAATAAACTTAATAATAAATGAAAAGAAAATAGACATTATTGCTTAACATTATAATAATTACTACAATAAAAAGTGTAGATAATTTAGTCGAATTAGTTGATTAGCCAATTCTAACAAATGATTTGCAGCCATTATAGATGTTGTTTTGTTCTCGAAGTATATACAGGGTTTCTGCACATATCATAATGTCAAATTTAAGACCTTTTTAAGACCTTTAAGTATTAAATTTAAGATCCTTTTAGCAATATCAAAAACACGCACACACAAAGAGAAACTGCAAAAAATAAATAAATAAATAAATCACAAAATTAGTGGTAAAATAAATGTATTCAAATTGAACAGTACTAAAGACAGGTTAGATGCACCATTAGACTACAGAAAAAAACAAACAAACATCTTAAGGTTGATTTATACTTTCGCCTGGCGCCACATTGCGCACCTCACGAAACAGATGAGGCTTTAGTACTTGACACGTTCGCCATTGAGAAATTCTTTTAAATGACAGGGGGCGGTCAAAAGAAACAGACAGTAAAATCAGACGGACAAACAGAGAAGTGGAAAATTTCCGGAAGTAGGTCATATCATTAATATCATTGAAGATTTTTAAACAAATTATTTTTATAATTTATTATAAAGATTTTTTTTTAACCATTCAAGATTTTTTTTTATCTGATTTTTAAAAAAATCTAAATGATGCATCACTTGCTTTTGTTCAGATCTCAGACAGTTAAAATATTTAAGGTTAAATATTAACGGCAACAGAACTTGTTTTTTTTATTATGGCAAGAACAAAAGCAAAAAAAGTACACTCACTAAAAATATAAAAAAATTCTATATTTTATTTTGATAGGTCATGGACCTGTGCAAAATATTTAAGACCTAGAACAGCGAAATTAAGACTTTTTAAGGCCTTAAATTTTGATTTTTAAATTTGAGAATTTTTAATTCAATTCAATTCAATTCAATTCAGCTTTATTTGTATAGCGCTTTTACAATGTAGATTGTGTCAAAGCAGCTTCACATAAATGGTCATAGTAACTGGAACAGTGTGGTCCAGGTTTTAGTGTTTAAGTTTTTAAGACCCCGCGGAAACCCTGTACATAGTAAAGTTTGACGGAGTAGAACGATTATTCATTTCATGTTTCTCCTGCGACTGTGTGCACGTAGTCAGCTGCAAAAAGGTGATCCAAATGCGCATACAAATAAAGTTAACTTTAGAAAACGAAAGTAAAACCTGAATCCTGGACATTTTAGGAGATTTCATATAAGAAACTACAGTCAGACACATTTTGGGTGAAAAGGACAGCATATGTGAGTGACAGATCGAGTAACAGTTATAGTATGGTGTGTGTGTGTGTGTGTGTGTGTGTGTTTATACATAAATATACATAGTCCAAATGTATATATTATATAAATATATCCTTTTATCTTGGATGTGATTACTTGTTTGACAACACAAACACTTATATAAGATATAACAGTACATCTATCTGTAAATATCACCATAGCTTTTCTATAACTGCACTTTATAACTTATCCCCGTCTCCTGCACTTGCTGCTATTGAAACTGCATTTCGTTGCATTGTACTTGTACATGTGTAATGACAATAAAGTTGAATCTAATCTAATCTAAAATGTAATCCTATACAATAATATGCAATTAAACATACAATATACTATACAATATGTAAATATACAATACATTACAGCAAAACAATGAGGAATATGGTGCAAAATTTCCAATAACTCAGACCAAAATCTGTCATTTCTGCTCCAAAAATAGGAAATCCTGCAGGGACGTGATAAGGAAAGGTTAGAGACAGAAAAGAGAGATCTTCATACCAGTAATTTGGCGCTGAAAACACGGTTATGCACTTCCCTGAGTGAGTGACCTCGTAGCCTTCGGCTTTGACCTCATGGCTGCGCACGATGTACTCCAGTTTGTTCTGCTCCAAGAATCGCTCTGTAACGTCGGGCCCGAACTGACAGCTCACGCCGCGCTTACTGATGGAGCGTCCGTTCTGCAAGACACCACGGTCAACAGCGAATCACAAGAATAACCCAAAGCTTTGAAGAGTTGGGAAAATGAACTGACCTGCAGCTGAGGATCTGACCACAGGAGATCACACATCGGACCTGCACAGGAAATTAAAAGTACATGCAGAGGTTAGCAGGTTACTGTAAGCAGGTTAACAGGTCACCTGTAAATTACATTATGCCTACATTACGCTCAGTAGACCCTTTTTATCCAAATTGACTTGCATGTAAATCTAGTTGTTGACATGTCAATGCATTAATTTCATATCCTCTGTTTTTGATAATACATTTTATAAACGTTAAACACGTTAAACTCCTGCGGTGTTGCTATCAGTGTGTGAAGAGTGGGAGAAAAGGCTTGCAATTACAATGCAACACAATGGGCAGCACATTGAACACATTTTATAAGTGGTCAGAAACTTGTAAATGGCTCATGAAAGAATAAAGTTACGTTAAAACCAAGCACACCATTGTTTTTCTTGTGATATTCCCAATGAGTTTGATGTGTCACATGACCCTCTTCCTATTGAAAAAACAAAAGGTTGGATCCAAGATGGCCGACTTCAAAATGGCCACAATGGTCACCACCCATCTTGAAAAGTTTGCCCCTTACGTACACTAATGTGCCACAAACAGGAAGTTAACATCAACCATTCCCATTTTATTAGGGTGTATCCATATAAATGGCCCACCCTGTAATACCTTACAAATAATGAGCTAGTTAGAAGTTTATTGAGCTAAAGTCTTAGTTAATAATTTGTTAATAACATGTATCGTGACCTTATAAAGTATGATCTTATTTTACATCCCTAGTCCTAGCCAGTGCCCAAACCTAAACCCAACTAATACCTCACTAATAATAAGCAGTTAATTAGTAATTTGTTGAAATGAAATTCTAAATTAATGGTTTGTTAATAACATGAATTGTACGTTAAACTAAAGTGTGACAGACTTTTTCTTTTACATGCTATAATCTATGATATTGTATACACATTTTTCTTTTAAAAATGTTTAAAAACACAACAGTTACTCTCCCTGGTAATTAATCACTTTTATAACGATGTAATTCAGTTATTAACTCAGTTACCATTCGTAACAAGCAACTTAACTAATTACAGGGTTCATACACATTTCAACCCAAAAAATTCCATGACTTTTCCAGGACTTGAACCAATTTTCATGACCTAATGTTTCATGTAACGTTTACGTATACGTGGTAAATCATAGTAAAAACAATAAATGTTTTAATTTATTAAAGCATATCATAAAACACGCAACAATCTCTTTAGTTTCATTTTATTTTCATATCTATGTAAAATAGATGATGCTTGCAAAGCACTAATGATGTAAGAGCATGTTTTTGGCCAAGAAAAGAAGTAAAAACATCTAACCTCCATTCCAGTTTACAGATATTTATCATACTAATTTAAGACAATGTTAATAGTTTGTTACTTCTATTGTAAAGCCGCGATCACACTGCACTTTTCGCTCCATAGACTTCTATTCATAGGCATGCGAACGTGTCAGACCAGAAACACAAGCACATGCGACAAGTTTCGCATTTCACTGCATTCGAAAGTTCAAGCTTGGTGAATTCTTACCTGCAAAATCGCATCACGTCGTTGCGTTAGACCAATAGAAGATTTGAGCAATCGCTCACTTTTATTAACATCTAATCATATTGTTTATCACCACCCCATTTCACAGCGCCATACGACAGAATTTCGCAAGCACAAGCTCTAGTGTGACCGCAGCTTAAGTCGCTTTAGACAAAAACGTCTGTTAAATGACTAATATAAATGCAATTTCCAAAACTTTTCCAAAACCTTGTGGGTTTTTCTGTTTTTCCAAAACTTCATGACTTTTTCAGGTTTTCCATGACCGTATGAACCCTGTAAATACTTCTTTAAGTACATTTACATTTTAATAACATTCACTCTGAGAGCTATTCACTTCTAAACACATCTCATTTCTTCCAGATTAGTTAGTAACAGCGCTTTTATTTTTAAGTGTCGGCATGAATAATAATATGCAGTGATAATATCCTTTCTTACCAGAATCTGGCGGCTGCCTGTTCCTGTCTATCTTTCTAATGTCATCTAAGGTCACACCGTCCTCACTAAACAGTCCACCGTGCATCACCTGAAACACAATTCAAGTCCATTAACACTCAAAATGCATTTCAAATCCTTAGTGATGTCTACACACCTAAATACGGAGAACCGGAAAGGACGTAGTGGAGGAGAAAAAAATTGGCTGTGTGAAAAAAATTATAATAATAGGCAGGAGAAAAAAATGGGTGAAAGAAAAAAATGGGTGGGAGGAAATTATATATTTCTAAGTTTTTGCGTTCTCTCGCAAAAACGTTTTGCATTCCCTCGCAAAGATGTTTTGCATACCCTCGCAAAGATGTTTTGCATACCCTCGCAAAGATGTTTTGCGTTCCCTCGCAAAGATGTTTTGCGTTCCCTCGCAAAGATGTTTTTGCATTCCCTCAAAAAAGATGTTTTGCGTTCCCTTGCAAAGATGTTTTGCGTTCCCTCGCAAAGATGTTTTGCATTCCCTCGCAAAGTTTTGCGTTCCCTTGCAAAAATGTTTTGCATTCTCTCGCAAAAATTTTTTGCATTCCCTCACAAAGATGTTTTGCGTTCCCTCGCAAAGATGTTTTGCATTCCCTCGCAAAGATGTTTTGCATTCCCTCGCAAAGATGCTTTGCGTTCCCTCGCAAAAAATGTTTTGCATTCCCTCGCAAAGATGTTTTGCGTTCCCTTGCAAAGTTTTGCATTCCCTCACAAAGACGTTTTGCATTCCCTCGCAAAGATGTTTTGCATTCTCTCATAAAGATGTTTTGCGTTCCCTCGCAAAGATGTTTTTGCATTCCCTCGCAAAGATGTTTTGCGTTCCCTCGCAAAGTTTTGCGTTCACTTGCAAAGATGTTTTGCATTGCCTCACAAAGTTTTGCGTTCCCTCGCAAAAATGTTTTGCATTCCCTCGCAAAGATGTTTTGCGTTCCCTCGCAAAGATGTTTTGCGTTCCCTCGCAAAAAATGTTTTGCATTCCATCTCAAAGATGTTTTGCATTCCCTCGCAAAGATGTTTTGCATTCCCTCGCAAAGATGTTTTGTATTCCCTCGCAAAGTTTTGTGTTCCCTCGCAAAGATGTTTTGCATTCCCTCGCAAAGATGTTTTGCGTTCCCTCGCAAAGATGTTTTGCGTTCCCTCGCAAAAAATGTTTTGCATTCCATCTCAAAGATGTTTTGCATTCCCTCGCAAAGATGTTTTGTATTCCCTCGCAAAGTTTTGCGTTCCCTCGCAAAGATATTTTGCATTACCTCGCAAAGATGTTTTGCATTCCCTCGCAAAGATGTTTTGCGTTCCCTTGCAAAGTTTTGCATTCCCTCACAAAGACGTTTTGCATTCCCTTGCAAAGATGTTTTGCATTCCCTCGTAAAGTTTTGCGTTCCCTCGCAAAAATGTTTTGCGTTCCCTCGCAAAAATGTTTTGCGTTCCCTCGCAAAAATGTTTTGCATTCTCTCGCAAAAATGTTTTGCATTCCCTCGCAAAGATTTTTGCGTTCCCTCGCAAAGATGTTTTGCGTTCCCTCGCAAAGATGTTTTGCATTCCCTCGCAAAGATGTTTAGCGTTCCCTCGCAAAAATGTTTTGCATTCTCTCGCAAAAATGTTTTGCATTCCCTCGCAAAGATTTTTGCGTTCCCTCGCAAAGATGTTTTGCATTCCCTCGCAAAGATGTTTTGCATTCCCTCGCAAAGATGTTTAGCGTTCCCTCGCAAAAATGTTTTGCATTCCCTCGCAAAGATGTTTTGCGTTCCCTCGGGAAGATGTTTTGCGTTCCCTCGCAAAGATGTTATGCATTCCCTCGCAAAGATGTTTTGCGTTCCCTCACAAAGATGTTTTGCGTTCCCTCACAAAGATGTTTTGCATCCCCTCGCAAAGAAGTTTTGCGTTCCCTCGCAAAGATGTTTTGCATTCCTTTGCAAAGTTTTGCGTTCCCTCGCAAAGATGTTTTGTTTTTCAAATTCTATGAATTTAGACATACTTCTCGGCTCGCATACTGATTTTAGCGTACTATATAGTATGGAAGTATGCGGTTTCGGACGCAGCCTCTGTTCCCTGGA